CCAGCAGCAGAGCGCGCGCACTTAACCGCTAAGCCACGGGGCCAGCCCCTTTTTTTTAACATTTTTAATAAACTTTTCATTTTAGAATAGTTTTAGATTTACAGAAAAGTTGTAAAGATAGTACAGAGAGTTCTCACATACACCATAACCAGTTTCCCCTATTGTTGACATCTTACATTAGTCTGGTACATTTGTCACAACTAATAAAGCAAACTGATAGATTATTGCTCACTAAAGTCCATACATGATTCAGATTTCCTTAGTTTTTACTTAATGTCCTTTTTCTGCTCAGGATTCCATCCATGATGCCATGTTACATTTAGTCATCATGTCTCCTTAAGGTTCCTCTTGGCTGTGATAGTTTCTCAGACTTTTCTTGCTTTTGATGACCTTGACAGTTTTGAGGAGCACTGGTCACGTATTTTATAGCATGTCCCTCAGTTTGGGTTGGCTGTTGTTTTTCTCATGATTAAACTGGGGTTATGGGTTTGAAGTTTAGGGAAAAACCACAGAGGTAAAGTGTCTTTCTCATCACATCATATGAAGAGTATACGCTATCAACATGACTTATCACTGTTGATTTTAACCTAGGTAATGTTTGTCAGCTTTCTCCACTGCAAAGTTACTGTTTTTCCCCCTTTCTATACCGTACTTTTTGTAAGGAAGTCACTATACTCGGTCTACACTTGCAGCGTGGAGAGTTATTTTCTACCTTCCTGAGCAGGAAGTTATCTATATATATTATTTGGAATTCTACTGCACAGGAGATTTGTCTATTCTCCCCCATTTTTAAATTTATTCAGTCATTTATTTATATCAGTATGGGCTTATGGTTATTTATTTTATACTTTGGATTATAATCCAAAATACTACATTATTTCACATTTTGCTCAAATTGTTCCAGCTTTGGCCATTGGAAACTCTTTCACTTGGCTCCTATGTCCCTTTGAAATACTCTCATGATTGTGGTTTTGTTGTTGTTGTTATTTGTTTATTTTTAGCTTACTTTCTGGTTACTTATTTCTTGTTAGTCCTAAATTGACCTACCTAATCTCTGGAGCCCTAATTTATCAAACAGGCCTTCTGACTCCCTTAACAGATGAATCTCTCCTTCTCTAGTTAGTCACACATATTCTAGTGGTTAATTGTTTTGCCCTCATTTCAGGTGTTGTTTTCTGTCCCCAATTAATATGTGAGCTCCTTAAATGAAAGATGATGTTTATGCCTTTTTTTAATCAACCAGACAACTGTAATATTTAAGAGTCTACTATATGTGCCGTGGCAATAAGAAAAATAAAGTATGCGTTTGACCTCCCTTATTAATGGGAAACCCAGTTTTATTTAACTTTTGAAATGATTGCATTCCAGTCTTACCCAAAATATGTATTTTAAATAATTTAAATTTAATTACTAACACTTTTAATTTAAATGTTATAGTTGACTACAAGGAAGAATATAATACTACTCTGCCACAGTTTATTCCATATGAAGATGGTATTTATAATGTGATTCAAAGAAAGGTAACATGGTATGAAGCATTAAACATGTGTTCTCAAAGTGGAGGTCATTTGGCAAGTGTTCATGACCAAAATGGCCAGCTCTTTCTGGAAGATATCGTAAAGCGTGACGGATTTCCACTATGGGTTGGGCTCTCAAGTCATGACGTAAGTCTTGTTTTGTTTTCCAGAAATTTTCCAAATATGTTAGAGGGTTGGAAATTTGAGCATAAAATGTTAATTCAAAGTCTAACATCAGGGCCGGCCCCGTGGCTTAGTGGTTAAGTGCATGCGCTCTGCTGCTGGCGGCCCGGGTTCGGATCCCGGCTGCGCACCGACACACCGCTTCTCTGGTCATGCTGAGGCCGCGTCCCACATACAGCAACTAGAAGAATGTGCAGCTATGTCATACAACTATCTACTGGGGCTTTGGGGGGAAAAAATAAATAAATAAAATCCAAAGTCTAACATCAGATTAAGTCCTGGGACTCAATTTGCATAGCGTAGTGCTTTCTTATCTTTTCACAACATGAAACAAATAGAAAATTATATTTGTAGAGTGCACTGGGGCAAATGGCTGGGACTGCAGCTGCCCTAGAAACTGCCAGGCCATCCCAAGGGCCCAGTAGATAAATATCTCAACACCTCTGTAACCTATTTGGGGCAGACCAATTAGAAAGCTGGTGAAAAGGGAATAGCACAGAATCAGAAACACCTGAGTTCCAGTACTACTGGGAGGTCTTCCATTCACATGTTGGGTGATGATGGGCAAGTTATTTAACCTTTGCAAGCTTATTTCCTCATCTGTAAAATGGGGATGATAATATTTTCCTTAATATAGGATGATAGTGAATATTAACACAAAAATTTATGTAAAGTGTCAAGTAAAATTCTTAATGTTAGGACTAATAAATGTATATTTTCTTCCCACATTCCCTCTAGAAATTAGCACCATTTGAGAATAATATTCTGCTGCTAAACTCATCTTTTGTGCACTATTTCAATCCTATTAATTAGCATATTCATGTACCTATAATAATATCTAATATACAGAAAATAGACATCTATTGAGATTAGAATAGAAGGCCTAATTTAAATAATCTTTAGAACAAAGTGGGGAAAATAAAATATAGAATGGCAAATTAGGATTATAAAATCAAGGAAAAATCAAAAGTAATCTTCCTGTATGAGTTTCTTGGGAAATATTTTCCTCTTCCAGCCCCCTGCTGCTTGATGGCTTCTGTAATATGAAAAAATGTAGTCAGAGACACAAGCCCAAAAACTATAAAACACAAAAAACAATATTCAGAATAATATGAAGGATGAGATTGTAAATCTGCAGTTGTGACAAATGGAAGCCATTTGCATGTCATTTAATTTCAAGCGTTATACAACTCATCCTTAAAAAAAATAAATCTAGAGACAGGGTATAGTAACTCTATCTTCAAATTTAAAGTCCTACTTAAATTGTGCCAGAGCAATGTCTCAAATCAATGCATCAAAAGTAAATCTCTGATTTTACAAATAGGTCCAGACCTACAACACTTATAAGCAAATAATTAACACTCCAGTCCCATATTTCTTAAAGTATATGTGTTCTTCTTAATGTTCTTTTTGAAGTCATACATCTGAGTTCAGGTTATCTCTATTATTCTTAAAACAGGGAAGTGAATCAAGTTTTGAATGGTCTGATGGCAGTGCATTTGACTACACCCCATGGAAAGATAAAAAATCTGCTGGAAATTGTGTTATCTTGGATCCAAACGGAATTTGGAACCATGAAAAATGCAACTCTGTTAAGGATGGTGCTATTTGTTATAAACCTACAAAACGTAAGACATGATTTTGAATAACTGTATATTTACTAAAATATGACATTTGTTTTATATACACAATAAATACTCAAAGGAATTTTTAATGAATTTTAAATAAGGTTTATTCACAAGTCCTGTAAAAATAATTTTGATACCTTGTGAAGAAAAACAAATTCGACATACCCATTCAGAGAATTTATTCCCAAAGATTCTCAATTGTTCTATCACTAGGTAAGTAGTTTACTCTAGAATTTGTGATTTTTTTTTTTTGCTGAGGAATATTTGCGCTGAGCTAACATCCACTGCCGATCTTCCTCTTTTTGTATGAGAACTGCCACCACAGCATGGCCACTGCTGGATGAGTGGTGTAGGTCCGTGCCCACGAACCAAACTGGAGCCACCAAAGCAGAGCACGCCAAACTTAACCACTAGGCCACTGGGCTGGCCCTAGCATTTGTGAATTTTAATTTCATTTAGCAATGTTTTTCGAAGGCTGAGCTGTTCCTTTAAAAAAGGGTTCCATGGCATATAAATCTGGGAAATACCTCAGGTGATTTACCATATTGATGGCTCTGAGAGTTTCTATAGTAAAGAAATCTGCTTAACTTGGTGTAACTAAGCGTTTTCCAAACTTGCATGATTTCCTTAAAATCTAAGGAAAGTGCCCCTTCCATCAGAGGCTGGACTTGGGTTCGCCCCTGGCGGTTGGAGCATTAACCCTGAGGAAGAGCACAAGAACCTAGACCACCCAGGAGCTGCAGAGGCTGCTGGGCAGGCCAAGAGATAGTGGCGGCGTTAGTCTCTGAAGCTTCTGGTTCTCAATGCTTGCCATGTTCTCTGCTCTGAAGAATCCTCAAGAGAAGATTCAACATTTAGAATTGAACAGACTGAGGCAGAAGAAAATGTGAAAACCTTATCTAGAGAAACAGGTAAACACAAGAAAGGAAGAATGATACAAAGAATGAGAAATAAAGGCACAATCAAGAACTGACATCTCAGTTGTTAGGTACAGAAAATAAATGTAATCTTTTGGAAAATCAGTTGGAATACATGAGAAATACAATAAAGCATGTAGAAATGAAGAGGACACCTGTGTTAGAGAAACAGACTTTACAGGATGAAGGAGAATGACAACGTGATCAAACACAATCAGTGCTGTACTGGGCTGAATAGTGCCCCCCAAAATTCATGTCCACCCAGAAGCTCAGAATGTGACCTTTGCAGATGTAATTAGTTAAGATGGGGTTATACAAGTATAGGCCTAAAATCCAATGACTGATGTCCTTATAAGAGGAGAGACACAGACACACAGAGGAAGAAGGCCATTTGACCACAGAGGCAGAGATTGCAGTGATGCAGCTATAAGCCAAGGATTGCCAGCACCACCAGAAGGTAAGAGAGAGGCATGAAACAGATTCTCCGTCAGAGCCTCCAGAAAGAACCAACCCTGCTGACACATTTTGAGACTTCTGGCCTCCAGAACTGTGAGAAAATAAATTTCTATTGTTTTAAGCAACCAAGTTTGTGGTAATTTATTATGGCAGCCCTGGGAAAATAATATAAGAACAAACTTAAAAAACTGAACCTTCAAAAAAAGAAAAGAACAAGTGTTAGTGAGGATGTGGAGAAATTAGAACCCTTGTGCATTGCTTGTGGGAATATAAAATGGTGTGTAGCCACTGTGGAAAATGGTATGGTGATTCCTCAAAATACTTAACGTAGAATTACCTTATGATCCAGCAATTCCATTTCTGGGCATATACCCAAAAGAAGTGATAGCAGGGGCCAGCCCTGTGGCACAGCAGTTAAGTGCACGCTCCGCTGCTGGCGGCCCGGGTTCAGATCCCAGGCGCACACCAATGCACCGCTTGTCAGGCCATGCTGTGGCGGCATCCCATATAAAGTAGAGGAAGATGGGCACGGATGTTAGCCCAGGGCCAGTCTTCCTCAGCAAATAGAGGAGGATTGGCATGGATGTTACCTCAGGGCTGATCTTCCTCACAAAAATAAATTAATTAATTAATTAAAATTTAAAAAAGTGAAAGCAGGAACTAGAACAGATAATTGTACAACCATGTTCTTAGCAGCATTATTCACAATAGCCATAAGGAAGAAGCAACCCAAGTGTCCATTGACAGATGAATGGATAAGCAAAATGTGGTATATACATACTATGGAATATTATTCAGCCTTAAAAAGGAAGGAAATTCTGACACATAATATAACATGGATGAACCTTGAATACATTATGCTAAGTGAAATAAGTCAGTCACAAAAGGACAAATACTGTGTGATTCCACATATATGAGGTACCTAGAGTTGTCAAATTCATAGAGACAGAAAGTAGAATGGTGGTTGCTGGGGAGAGAAAGGAATGGGGAGTTATTATTTAATGGGTACAGAGTTTCAGTTCTGCAAGATGAAAAAGTTCTGGAGATGGATGGTGGTGATGGTTGCACAATAATGTGAATGTACTTAATGCCACTGAACTGTACACTTAAAAATAGTTATGATGGTAAATTTTATATGTGTTTTACCACAATAAAAAAAATCGAACCTTCTTGAACAAGAATATAGCAAACTTGGCCCTTGCAGAAAAATAAAATGCAAGAATTGGAAGCAGAACTCCATGAAGAACATTAAAGAAAGAAAATGTATGCAGCCTAAGCCAGCCCAGTTGCAGACTGGACTAGGAACAAATAGACTTTGAAGATAAGGCATCTCCATATGTTCCCAGTATAAGATGAATTAAAAAAAAAAGCGAAGCCATTCAGAAAAGTCCACCAGTCCTAACCATGCATTGGTAGCCAGTGTTCAACATGTTTTGCATCTAATGAAGCAGCACACATCATTGCCTTGTGCCATGATGGAGTAGTCAGCAGTATATTTTTGGCAAAGCAACTATTTTCATGAGGTGGTAAAAGCAAGAACTTACCAGTAACGTCTCCCTCCACCAGCAGCATTAATGAATAGTTGTCACAAGTCCTACAGACTTTACAGATGAATGTGGCAGATGTTTTGATCATCAGCAACTAGGAAACTTACCCAGGAGTTATCACCTGTCAAACTGAAGGAAGACTGAGAGCTCAAACTAGTGGCATCAGTGGGAAGAATGGAGGCAAAAGCCAATCAAAGAACTAAAGTTCTAAAAAGATCAAGCCCAGCTGGAGAAACAGAAGATAGCAGAAGAAGGAATTAAGAGCCATCAGACAGTCCCTTCACGAAGAAAGAAATGGCAACAGCCATTCTTCTGGAATCACAGGGACCACAAATAAGAAGAACTCGACCAAACCAAGACATAGAGAAAAAAGCAGTCCTCTGTTACTGAAGGACACCCAAACTGTACATAATGCATACAAAGCAGTAGTTTGGGTTGAGATTACTGACCATACCACGTCAGATTCTTGATTCAGATTATCTGTACCTCACCAATAGGATGCTGATAATTTACTTTCCAGTTCTCATGCTCTCTTCTTGTGGAATTAACAATAGGTGTTGAGGAACATGGGCTTCTTGTGTAACACAGCACAATTAAAAATTAAGCAGTTTAAATGGAAACCAGAGGAATTTTTAAGAGCTGAGAAGCCACACCTAGTCTTTTTTTAAAGATTTTATTTATTCAGTTTTTTCCCCCCAAAGCCCCAGTAGATAGTTGTATGTCATAGGTTCACATCCTTCTAGTTGCTGTACGTGGGACTCGGCCTCGCGTTGGA